CATGTTTGTGCCCATTCAGGTGAAGGGAAGATGGAGTGGGGGCAGGGGAGGGGACCAGACCTCCTTTCATCAGGAAACTACTACCACAGTAAGTGACTCACTCCTATGATGAAGATATTAATCCATTTATGAAGGTAGAGCCCTCATGATCTCAATGGTCTCTTGACATTGGAATTTAGTTTCCAACTATGCACTTTGGGGATACATACCATCCACTGCATGCTATACAGGTTTATTTCTCATGTAACTAACTAGGGCAGGTTCTTGTCTTTGTCTATCTTCCATTTTGTGACTCAGGTATGAGTCATAGGCTCTTTCCACTTGGTATTTCTTGTCTAACCAGATAATATTGTCATTTGCATGATTGAGGCTGGTTGCCCTGCCCAGGATCTGGTTGGTGGAGGGAAAGGGAATATGGAGAAACATGCTCTTTAAAAGATTGTTCTAGGGGTGGGGCTGTAGATTAGTGGTGGAGTGCTTGCCCTGTGTGTGTGAGGAACTGGATTCAACCCTCAGCACCGCATTTAAAAAAAAAAAAAGGTATTATGTCCATCTATAACTAAAATATAAAAATTTTAAAAAGGTTATTCTTTTTTAAAATTTTAATTTGTTATATATGACAACAGAATGAATAACACATACAGAGAACAATTTTTTAGTAATCATTCTAAAGTAGAGTCACACCCTTTGTGTCTTCATACATGAACTTAGGGTAATGATGACCATCGCATTCCACCATCTTTCCTACCCCTTTGCCCCCTTTCTTCCTTTCCCTCCCCTTTGGGGAAAAAAAGGTTATTCTTAACTAAGACTTCCCACATTAAAAAATTACCCAACATCACTCACATCTAGTTGGAAGGCCATGCAACTGCAAGGGAGGCTGGGAACTTAGTCTATTAAGGAGAGAATAAATTGTGATGGATGGCAGGGGCTTGTGTTATAGACAATTTTTATTGTATATTTGTTAATTTCATGTTTGAAAAGAATTTTAACACACTGATCTCATTTTAAATGATCATATCTTCAAAGGTATTACGGACATCTTTAAAGGTATTATGGACACACCTTTAGTGGCTCCAGAATTCGAACCAGACCTTCTGCCTCCATGCCAAGTTCCTTTCCATGAATGTAAGGGCTACTTTTTTGGAGCCTTAATGAAGTATGCCTTTTTTCCCCATTGACAATAAACCCTATCGGAATTATCTTTATCTGGTGAGACACTGAAGCCTTTTTGAGCCAGAGAGACTTATTTCTGTAAACTATAGAGTAGGAGGTTAATTTAATTAGAGAAAATGGCTGTCTAGCCAGTTGGTAAAAGCAGTCTGCAGAATGTAGACCATATTGCTGGTGTGATTATTTTAGATGCTAACAAATGAGAGAACATTTTGGTAACTCTATGAACCAGATTTCAGTTGTTAACAATGGGGCGTCTTTCTCTGAATTCCACATTCCCTGAATGGGCTTCCATTAAAATGTTCCGTCTGTACTCTTCAGAGGCTTGTACATCAACTCTGACTGAGCATACAGGGAAAATGCCCACCACATATTCAGTGGATTTAGACAGGCAATTTGGATAACTTAGGTTTTCAAGTTCACTTTTCCATCAGCCAAACAAATACCAAAATCTATGCTTCATTTGGCCACGGTCAGAGTTAAAGTAATGCCATTCATAATAGAGAATTGTTGATTATTTCCTCCAACTTTTATCTCTGTCCCAGAACATAAAGAATGCCTAACCTTACAACTTCTTTAAAAGCATATGGCTGTGAATCTATACTCTTTTCTATAGATGCATATTTTACATGGTTCTTGAAAACTCTTTCTCTGGCTCTGCACATCTTTCAGTAATACTACAGGACAGTGTCTTTAAATATCTGTAAGCCTCATAGATTTTAAGAAGCATGGTTGCAGGAAGCAATCACTCTCCTGGAACCAACAGACTACATCTACCTAACTCTGATATTTTCTCTACAGCTTTTAAACGGAAGAGAATGCCTGAAGCAAGGGCTGTCATAATATCAGCTGAAAGAAGGATAGGCAGCCAGAGGACATGTGTCATTAGCATCAGCTTTTCTGGGGGATGCCTGCTGTTCATTATGTGTGGACACGATTAGGCTCCACAGGGACCATGAGCAGGAAAGAGCAATCACAGGCTTCCCAAGCGAGTCTGTCTTTCCAAACAAATCTACAGAACCGCTCTGTTCACAGGAAGACTTCCATTATAGGTTTATTGACTTTTGGGTGGATGAAATGAGTTCAAGGAATGATTACTAAAAATAGCAAAAAAAAAATTAAGATGCAGTTTCTGATTAGTTGCCAGGATGAATTATTGGCTAGAGGAAATTATTAACTGATTTTTAAAAGAACAAACCTTTGTGATATTGTAAAATGCAATTTATAAACTGCTATTATGTATTCCTTTCATCTGAGTCTTCATGTCATTATGGGGTATTCTTTTTGACAACGGATGGTCCTAAAAGGTAATGTGTTGAAATATAGTGGACATATAACTCAAATGTGCAAAATGATAGTTGTAGGTAAAAATTACCTTTAAATATAAAATGACTCTTTAATTGGAAGGTAAGCTGAACCAAAATTTTCTGATAGGTAAACATTACCCTTTGTTAGCTGCATATTCTGTGCCAATGTACTAAGCAAACAAAAGAGGAAAAAAAAAACATTTGGAAAAAAATCATCAAATTATCACTGGGTAACTTGAGCTGGTTTCTTTTTCTCTTGACACACAGATATAAGCTTCTTCACAGAAAGAAACAATGAAATGGTTAAAAGTGCACAAGAAATTGTGACATTGTAAAATCAACCTCTCTCCTTTGAAGCAATTAAAGCCCTCAAAATCATATGTGTATCTGAAGTGGTACAGAAAGTGCCATTGGTTTTAAATAAATTCTTCTGAAATGAGAACGGTTAATGAAATTCATTTTTGGAATATTAAACTCATGAGATAATTCCTAAGTATTTGGTTTCAGTGACAAGGACTCCAAATCCATAGACCCAAATGTTTACCTTCCCTTTACAGTTAAAATATTATACATATTCAAGACAGAACCCCCGTTTCCCCCATCTCTGGCTCTCTCAGCGTTTCCTAACACAGGAAATGGATGATTTTAAATCTTCTGATGGAAAGCCTAAGGTGCCTTAACTGAAATACAGGGACGTGTGTGGAAAATGCACTTTAATTTTAGCCACGTTGAGTGAAGCTGGGGGCAGGCAGGTGGACGGACACTCTCTGTGGACACAAGGAGTTAAGAATCCTGGAGGTGGATCTGGGAATCATCTATGTAGAGGTGATGAAGTTAAGGGAGACAAATGAGCTTTTGAGGGGAAACAAAGGGGTAGAAGGGAAAGGAGCCAGAGAAGCATGTGGCCTATCACAAAATCAAGGGAGTTTAGTAAGAAAAGGGCAGTGTCAGGAATGTTAATGGACAAGGACTGAGACGAAGACACTGGATTTGATAAACTTTCAGAGTTTCAGAAATAGGAGACCATAAGCCCAAGTGTTTTGTCCTTAGGTTCACTTGCTGCTTCTACAAGAAGTTAATGTCATGGGATCTCAGCCTTCTTGTCTTTAAGATGAGAGGATTTCCTGGATACACTCATCTAGATTCTTAGAACTTGAAGTAGACATTTTCAATGAGAGAAAGAATAAATGAATAGAGCTATATGTATTTCCTATCAGCTTCCTAGATAGAGAGTGGTTAGTACTGACTATTCACATCAAAACATTTTGCTGTATAAGGAAAACTGTTTGCAATGCATTATCTAAGAGAACAATATCATTGAGGATAGAATTTTGAAGATAAAACCTCTTTCAATTTTTTTTTTTTGGTAGCAGGAATTGAACCTAGAGGTGCTTAACCACTGAGCAACATTCCTAGCCCCTTTTTTATTTTGAGATAGGGTCTTGGTAAGTTGCTTAGGGCCTCAGCCTCCCAAGCTGTTGGAACTCCCAAGTCACTGGGATCACAAGCATGATGCCTGTGTTGGTTGTTCATCTTTATCCTGTAATTCTACAAAGTAAAGAAGTATAGGAGACCCTTGCCCCGCTTACTTTTGACAGATTCTCATTTTGACTTCTTTTTTTAAAAAAAAATATTTATTTTTTGGACACAATACCTTTATTTATTTATTTATTTATTTTTATGTGGTGCTGAGGATCAAACCCAGGGCTTCACACATGCTAGGCAAGTGCTCTACCACTGAGCCACAGCCCCAGTCCTCATTTTGACTTCTTAAGAATGGATGTGTCATTGATTCTGCAAAGTGTGGATTTCTTATTCAATAGATAGAGCATTGGAATTCAATAAGGAACAAGAAACAAAGCTTATTGGAAATACAGCATTTTCTTTTTGAATTTTTATACACTGCCAAAAATTTTTCAATAAATTTAACCTACTGGTTAACAAGTCTGGCAGGTGGAAGGTGCCTTAAGGCATACAGAGCTGGTAAATCAGCTGGTAAATAAGTCCCGATTTGCATTTCAGGGGTAAAGCATGTTGAAAAGCTGATGTTAATCCAAGGCTGACTGACAGACCCTAAGGATTTTGAGTGGACTTATTTTTCCATGGAAAGTTATTATTATATAATGGGTGTGTAATATGTCCTTGTAAGAGTAATTTCTTTTCATTTAATTACTTTCCTCTAAAGTTTATTCATAAATTCATCATGTCATTCCTATTATAATCTATTAACATATAGTATGTAGTATCATATTTATAAAATCACCTATTCTGGCATCTATATATTAAAAAGACCTGAAGCAGGTGTTTTCTCTGTGAAGAGGCCTTGATTCTAGAATTTTCTGAAGGCCTTCCAACTACAATGGCTTCATCTGGTATCTACCTTGAAGGAACCATTCTTTAGGAAAGCTGATCATATGCTGAATACACTATCAACCAGAAGGACTCATCTGTCTTTTAAGTTTCATGTATGAGCAAGGGGAAAAATCAAAGTGCAACAAAAAATAATCTTAATACCCAGAATTCATCACAGTATTTAAACAATTAGAATTTTACTCTCTTTTGGAATAAGTTTACAGTTCAAAAATGATATTTATTAAAGCCACAACAATATTCATTCAGACAAAAATTTTTGTAGCAAAACCTTGGTACATGAGCATTAGTAATTTGAATGCTATATGGATATAGAAGATATTTTTAAAAAACGGAAATGATATGTTCCAAAGGCTGTCATAGGCACAATATATATGCTTGTGTTGTTTCTGCAAGCACAGAATGACACTTTATCACACGTGATCCAAGAAGTTACAATTCAGCACTATGTACCAAAAAGATACAAAGGAATATCATAGTTACTCATTTTTAAAAAGCAGATACTATCAAGACTACAAAATAGGAGCAGCAAGCCAAACCAACAAACAATTCTTTAGGTTTTAGAAGAAGTAATATAGCTATGGCTTTTTTCATGGTCATTTTTGAGACTGGTTAGCGTCTGGCAAATGGGAAAGAAGAAATGATTCTATAATAAAGCACAACACCATTTACAAGGCATCTGATATTTAACAGGCTCAAAAATGGAAAACAAAAATTGAGCTGTTCTCAGAGCAAAATTATGAGATTTCATGTAGCAGAAACATTGCTTCCTCTTATGCCGATCTTTTGGCAGAAGAGTATGCAGAAAAGTGAGTTGTCACGTGACATGGAGGAACAATACTGAAGATGAATAATTAGAAATTTACTTTTATTTTAACCTTCTTTATTTTTATGTGGTGCTGAGGATCGAACTCAGGGCCTCACATGTGCTAGGCAAGCGTTCTACTGCTGAGCCACAACCCTAGCCCCTTACTTTTGTATTTTACTAACTATTAAGGATATAGGTCTTCCAAGGACCAAGAAACCAAATTTGGTCCTTATATGTGGAATTTTCTTATTTATTTTTAGGACATGGACTGAAATATGAATTCATGCTGATAGTGTATCCACACCGATAAAGATGAAAATGTAGTAAAAATAAGAAAAAAAAATCATACATTTTTCTGGCCACACTACTACTATTACATCATATTGAAATAGTCTAAAAGGTAAAAAGGACGTTGATTCTCAAAGGTTTTTTTTCCGACTAGCAATTAAGCCTAAGTGTAAAAGTGATACATGCAGTATTTTTACCCATCAGTGACTGTGTTAAGGATACAAGGGGATCAGAATTCTTTTTTCTTTTCCTTTCAATCAGTAGTGTTCACAAGTTATGTGGAACTAAAATCACACACAAAGGTAAGTCATGAAGAAATGTTAAATATTTCAGAATGCCCACAAAGGCGTGCCAGACACGACGCTGTTTCTAGAGCTCTGTTGGAGGCTTAACTAACGAGTTGGCGCTGGAGCTCTTGAATGCTGCTTGCTTGTGTTTGTGTGATGGGACCGAGGTTGGGGGGGGCCCAGGCTTTCTGGAGATTAGGCCATAATTTCTGCAGGTTCAGTGACCAGCTTGGATCCATCCCATACTGTCTTGAACTGCTCAGGAACCGGAAATTCTCTCTGGAAAAAGGCAAGAAGAACAGAACGTTTTACATTCAAGCTGCCTCAAGACTGGTGAGTGCCAACTCATGGGCAAAGCAATTCCATTGAACCCACATCTGCACCGTGGAGAGGTCTCTGTCACAGAGAGACTCCCACATGTGTCCCTTTTTGTGCCTATAAGCAATAGAACTAGCATTTACAGAGAACCAGCTAGGGGTTATGTGATGCTATCTACAGAAAGCAGAGGCCTGAGGGGAAGCAGCTGGCCCAAGATGGGGGGTGGCCACAGAGCAGATAGCCAGAATCCACACCAATGAAGTCTTTCTCTTTGTTTTTATTTATTTTACTATGTGCTGAGGATTAAACCCAGTGCCTCACACATGCTGGGCAGGTACTCTACCACTGGGCTACCACCCCAGCCCAAGGCAGTCTCTAATCCACTCCTCTCTACCACATCGGGGTGGTGTCTTATTAACATGCAGACTCTGATTCAGTAGATTGGAGAGGGAAATGAGAATCAAATTTCCAGCACGCCCTCAAGGCTTATGGCCCCAGCCGCAGCGAGTGGAATTTATTCCAGTTATCACCTGTCTGCTCTTTGAGAAACTGCAAAAAATGTGTGTAAGCTTGTGTAAACATTTGTTATCCTGCCATTGTACTCTTTCCAGTGGAAAACACACACTCCATACACACCTGTCCCCCACCTCCACCTATACAACCACACAAAGAAGCACAGACTAGTCTAAAAAGGACTCTCCTTCCCCAGTGATTCTCCAGACATTTAAGAGGAAGATGGAAAGGGACCAAGGGGAAAAATCAAAGTGGAATAAAAAATATTCTTAATATCCAGAATTCATCCAGTATTTAAACAATTAGAATTTTACTCTCTTAGAATAATTTTTCAGTTCAAAAATGATATTTTTGTTGTTGAGCGGCCCCCTTGGCCCTGACTCCTGGAGCCTCCCTGAACTTCCTGCATGTGCCAAGCAGTCTGAAACCCCACATGCGGGATAAGCTAATGTCTCTGCTCATGAGATGTGACGTTTCACTGGAACACACATGACCCCTATCTTCCTAGATGGAGGATCCAACTGTTTCTTTTGAAAGAAGCGAATTATTTATTAGAGCAATGAATTCTCCTTGAGTGAAATCTGAAATGGGAAACCTTTAAGTCTTCAAAACCCAATGTGTCCCTGTGGGTGTGTCTGTGTGTGTTGTACCTCATATCACTTCTGGAGCTCTTTTTGATGCATAAATGAAGCTTTGTCCTATAGGTGTTCTAAACTCTCTGTTGGCAGAGAGAAGATAGTAACGTGATGATGGATTTGCTCTGGGAGGCTGATTTCCTTCAGGATGAACCATCCCACCATCCATCTCTGCATGGTAATGACCATGGTGGGCCCTCAGGATGGTTCCCATTACCTCCAACTTAAAAATGTATGAAGGGGGTCAAGGACTGAAGACTCAGGGTAATTCACCTGCACAGGCAGGACTACAGTTCCAGCATAAAAACTCAGGCACTGCTTGTAGTCACTCTTTAGGCCAGCGGATCTTAATCTCAGCCCCATACTGGAACCACCTGGAAAGCTTTAACACCACAGATGCTGGGTGGCATGCCCAGAGAGTCCAGCTTAATGAGTCTGCAGAGCTCAGCCAACCACGCTGCTTTCCTTAGCAGGTCCAGTTCCCATGCAGCTGAGCCTTCTGCTTAAACAGCTGCGAAGGCCAGGGATCATATGATTTATGTCTCTTCAGTTCTGGAGAATTCTCCTACTCTGAGGCTCTTCGGTATTGCCTTGAGCTCTTCCATACTTTTTAGGGTGAGAGCCCAAGAAGGGACTCTTCTCTTGCTCAGGGCTGGGTGTCCACATGCGGAGTGGTGAAGCACCCTCTGATGCTTGTGGTTTTGTGTTGTAAACTGAAAGGATGAATTCTAGGCTGCTCTATATGGTATGTGGCCTGTGGAGCCGAAGAACTTGGCAGTGGGGAAAGGAGCAGTGGGCTGCAGCCACGTCTGTCCATGGAGGTCAACCTGTCTCTGACTGCCGTGTAGACAGCTGGAGACTGACCTTTCAGCTCAGGTGGCCCCTCTTCCTAAGGTGTGCCTGCTAAATTACCTTTTCTTCCATTCTTTCCTGATTCACTAGTCCCCTGCTTAGACCCAGAGGGAATGATCTCTATTTATTCTCCTACTTCTAAGTAATGACAACTAGCAGATCCATGATACTCCATTATCCAGAAATGTTATTTATTCACTTAAATTCCCTTTTCTATGGATGAGAATACCTGCATGCTTCTTTTAGATGCTATTGGAAGGAAGGAGCAAAGAAAAGAAATGCTGGCAAAATCACTTAAGCTTGTGTTTCTCAGAAGGGCCACTGGGTGGCCCGATGGCATTAGAATCACCTGGGATGCAATTAGCAATCCAGACGCCCAGAGGCTCCATCTGGAGCCTCCCCAATCCCACCTCTAGGTATAGGGTTTGAGTCTGGCCATTTCTTCTTCTTCTTCTTTATTTTATTTTTTGTCTTTTTTTGGAATTGGCTTTGTGAGTGCAAGACAGACACTTTGCCATTGAGCGACATGCCAGCCCATCTCACCAAGCTTCTCACTGATTCTTATGGTAAGTGGAGGATCTCTGACTTGAGCAAACCTTCACAAACAGTTCTACTTAACTGTCCCCTTTCCTCCTTCCCATCCCCCGCAAAGCCTTCTTCTTTCCTGTTCCCCTCCATCAGAGCTCAGGAAAAATATTTAGCCCCACCCAATATGAATTCAGATGCATGCTGCGCTATTCCGTAGCAGCTGGCCAATTATCGTAGCGATCAGTGGCCTGCTGTGGGAACGGGCAGTGGGCAGAGCCCAGGAGCTGGGCAAGAGTGGTGGAAGGCAACTCCCTGAACTTGTTCCCACCTGTGATGGAGCTCCACGCTGGTGGTCTGTTGTCTAATCAATCTCTAAGAATTTTAATAATGACAGCTGCCTGGGAAGTACTTACATAATCACCATCCTGAGGGACAAGGACATTCATTTCGGAAGACTTGGCGCTCACCAGCTCACAGTCCAAGGCGTCCTCACTGAGGTACACGTGGCAGCCTTCTGTCTTGTTAATGGAAATTGTTGGCACTCTCCCCATTACCTGAAATGAGGTGGGGGGAAATCTAGGGTCAAAGCAAACCGACAGAAATGACAGTGTTCCCCAATAAATCCATCTAGATTCTTCTTGGCCTTAGCTTGGGCTTAGCCAAACGTTAGGAAGTGCCAGGTGGAAGCTAGGGAGACTGGTTAATGGGCTCCAGGGTGAATAGGGAGGTGTCATTTGGGGATACAATGAAAAGACCACACAAGGGGATTCTCAAACCTCTGGGCCTCTTTCCCAAGATAAAATTAAGGGATTAATTTGGAAACAGCAGCTAAATGTTTAGAAAAAGTCTTGCAGCACCTGTAAGTGGATCTGAACCATATATTTGATTTCATGATAAAAGAAACAAGATGCATTTGCTTTATTTGCTAAAAATTTTAGTTTTGACAAATATCTAGAAACTGGGATTTAAACAAGTACTAATACTGATGTGTAAGAATAGGATTATTCTTGAGCAGAAACTGAGTAGATTGTTCCTAAATTAAGAATAAGTAAGAAACACTACAATTCTTTTCATGTAAGTACTTTTGGTGGATAAAAATCTCAGTGGATGAATGCAAAGTTTATATGAGATGAGTTCTTAGAAGTGTATTTATTTTAGGAGCCAAAACTGGAGGCTTAGCTCAGGATACTCATTATACGGATAAACAGGACTGTGCACAAGAGAGGGCAATTCCTGGTGTTGTTTACAAATACTAAATGCTGTAAAAATTCTGATCAGTTTTAAGTTTCTCTTTGAACAGTTTTCAGAAATCACCCCAAATTGCACAGGAGCAGAATGCCCCCAAAGACACTATGATTTTCCTTCTTGTAATGGTAATTAAAGTGATAAAGACATCTCCTCTTTCACCTTGAAGAAAAGGCTAGATTGCAAACCAAAGCAGCAAGTCCTGTTGATGGTGCAGGTGATGTAAAGAATTCCTTGGGGGGCGTCTGGTCAGATCGCCCTACTTCTCTGTTTTCTCTCTTCTCTGCATAGAAACTGAACACTGAGTTGGAATTGAACCTCAGTGCTAAAGTAAAGGCAGAGGTAGTTCAAGGTCAGGTAAGTACAGGGCTCAGCCACAAATAAAAGAATAATAATACATATGTGTATTTAAAAAATGTGTCAGCAGCTATGTTTTGATAATATCGAGATTTGCTTATTTTATAATGATGTAGAGCATTTACATTCTGACCAAAGCTGTGTGAATACTAGGCAAGCAGAGCAAAGGGATGTCTTGTCACTGTCTCTTAGAACGTATTTATACGTTGCTAGAGTATGCCAAAATCCTGAAGTGTCCTGGGTACTGGAAAAGGCAATAGCAAAAATTAAAAATAGCCCTGTTATGTTAAGAACTGCAATTTCCACAGCATTTTGGTCAATGACGTATTTGAATACATTATAAACATGGCTTTCCCTGGTAGTCTCTGAATACTTTAGGAACAGAGAGTGTTTCTTATCAGGAGAGTTGGGCCAAAAAGCTCCTCTGCTGAGTGACAGGTGGCATGTGAGCTTGCGCAGGCGGCTACTCCTGCTCTACCTCTAAGTTCCTCTTTTAGTCTCATGTAGTTTTTCACAAACATGTTTCTCCATAAAATTTTTAACATCCCCATTGACTTCTTGGGTCTCTCTCTTTTCCCATAATTTGTGTATTTTACTATGATGTTTGCCAAAAGTAGGATGACAGGTCAGATCCTGTGAACTTCAGTCCTGACCTGGTTATTCCTTTCAATCTTTTAATAGCATTATTGAAGGAAAACCTGCAAACATAAATTCACCCATCTTGAGTGTACAACTCCGTTATATTTAATAAATTCACAGACTTGTGCAATCATCACTACAACCCAGTTTTAGAACATTTCCATCATCCTCAAAATATCCCTAATGGCCACTCACAATCCATCCCCACCCCCACCCCCACCCCAGGCCACCACTAATCGGTTTTCTGTTTCTATTGTGTGCAGGCCCTTTTAAGTGCTTTAAATAGGTAATGACATTCCCTTGGTTTGAACATGCCAAAGTTCAAAAAGTATTCACTAAATGTTTTTCTTTGAATTGCACTGCTGAATTTCTATCATTCTGATACAAGAAAACATGGCTTATCCTTAAAAATATTACAATATATTTCAAAAATAGAAAAAATATATAAAGAATAATACAACAAATACAGCAATGTGTATATGCTACCAATAGCTTCATCCGAGTGATTCATTTTGGCTTATTTCCTATTTTTTTAAGAGACTAAAATTTTCTAGTATTGTTGAAGCCCCTTCATAACATATACCACCTCACTGATCTCTCCTTCCTCTGTAACTACTCTTCTGGATTTTGTGCTTCTGATTCACCAAGTCTGTCTATTGTTCACCAGGTCTGTCTGTTGGTTAAAGCGATTGGCATGGCTACCCTGAGTTCTCAGAAGTACATTTACTATGTGGTATTGTTTGCAGGTCTTCAATCTTTTTATAAATAGGTACATTGCACAACGTCTGCCACTCTGTAACGCCTTCATTGCTCAATACCGTTTTATACACGCAGCTGCGGAGCCTTCATTTTCACTAACGTGCAGTGTTCTGTGAGGAGGATGTATTCACTTGCCAGTTGGTGGACATTTAAACTGGTTGTTTTTACTGGCATTCTGAATGACACGGCATCAAATACGTTTCGAGTCTCCTTGGCATATGTACGAGTGCTTCTTTAGTGTTTATTCCTAAGAGCAAATTAGTCACACAGTATGATGTGACTTCATGAGATGGGGCCAGTTTGCTCAGCAGTGAGTGCAACAGAATCACTCCCCCAACACGGATGCACCAGGGTTCTCAAGTTCCACTTCTCTTAACATACAGGCAATCCTCAACTCGAAGTTCTTAGAGTATGAGATTCAGTTCAAGGCACCCTGCAAAGGGCATTCTGAATCCAAAACTGTGTGAAAATCTATTTCTAATTATTAACTTTACATACACCTATGCCTATGCATATATATGTATTCACTTACATATACACCTACCTATTGGTATAGGTATGTATACGTATGTTTCTATACACATAGATATCCACGTATATCTACATGTATGTATACTCATATGTATCAACCAATTCTGTTTTCCTTCTCTGAGTTGCTTTAATAATCTTTGCCCATTTTCCTATTAGATTGTTAGGTTTTTTTTCTTATTGATTCATGGTCCATTCTTTATATATTCTGGACATAAATCCTTTTTGTTTATCTGCAAAGATTTCCCCAAATTTATGGTTGTTTTTCAGCTTTGTATATCAGGTCTACTTGTTGAACTATAATTTTATATTTATTTTTTATTTGTTCTTTTTATATACATGATAGGAGAATGTATTTTGACATATTATGCGTGCATGGAGTATAACTTCCCATTCTACGGTTGAACATCATGGGGAGTTCCCTTCCCCCCATTTTAATTTTAATGATATTTACTAATTTTAGATTAATTGGTTCTTCTCTTTATGGTTTGTGCTTCTTGATTCAATTAGTTTCTTTCTTTCTTTGAGGTCACCAAGACGTTCTGCATGTTATTCTCAGAGTTCAAAAGTATTTCTTTTCATAATTAAAACTTTACTTTTATGTATGATGAGAATTCAGTATATATTTTTTCCCAAATAGATAATCAATTGTCCTAAACACACACTTCTATTAATGTATCTATCTATTTCAGGGCTTGCCAGGCTGTTTGTGAGTCTTTTTCTATACTTCCCACACTATAACGTTTTCAATGACTCAATATCTGGTGTGCAAGTCCATTCAGCTTGTTCATTTGCTTTCAAATCGTTTTAGCTATTCTTGTCCACTAGTTTTCCAAATGGATTTTAAGGCCATTTTTCATCAAAAATCCTGTTGATATGTTTGAGTTGAGTTTCACTGAACTTATGGGTTAAATAAATGGAGACCACTGATACTGACGTCTTTCTGTCCATTTATTTACATCTCTTTTGTGTTCTTTATGAATACCTTCCATTTTGGTTGTTATTTTTTCCCTAAGCACCCTACAGTTTGGTTGTGATTTTAAATATTATTTTGTATACATTTTCTAAGACTTATTTGTAGTATAAAGATAGGTTGTTGATTTTTGCATGCTGATGTTGTATCCAACCATCTTGCTGAATGTTTCTTCAGTTTCATAGTTTGTTAACTCTCTTGGATTTTATGTAAAGGCAATCATATTTTTAAAAATATTTTTTCTTAGTTGTCAATGGGACTTAATTTTATTTATTTATACGTGGTGCTTAGAATTAGACCCAGTGCCTCATACATGCTAGGCAAGAGCTCTACCACTGAGCTACAACCCCAGCCCAAGGCAATCATTTTGTTGGCAAATAAGGACATCTTTGTTCTTCCTTTTCCAGTTTTATATCCCTCAATTATTTTTCTCATCTTATTGCACAGATTGTACCTTTAATACATCACTAGAAGCAATGATGGAAGGAATTTTCTTATTTTTCTGACTTTAATGGCAATTCTAAAGTTTTAAATTTTTGCTGTAGCATTTTTCAAGATACCCTTACTTTGCTGACAGAATGTAGTATAGCTTCTCTGACTTTTTCCTAATATTATCAGCTATAGCTCCAGAGCTGGCATTAGTGCCCAGGTGTCCTGATGCCCAGTCAGGATTATTTCCATTTGACAGACACAGGCAGAACTAACTTCTAAAATTACCATCAGTGAAATGTAAATGTGCACACAGGGGACTCTAATTAAAGGTTTCAGTGGTGACCAGCAACTTGGGAGGCTGAGGCAGGAGGATTCAATTTTGAGGTGAGACCCTGGCTCAAAAGAAAACAAAAAAGAGCCGAGGATGTGGCTCAACGTTAGAGCACCCCTGGTTTAATTCTCAGTGCTATTTTTTAAAAAAAGAAAGAAAAAGAAAAAAGTGTCAGGAAAGCAAAAAGATTTGTGCAGTCACAATCTAATTTGAACAAACATTCTTGGGAAGTATCAGGTGGCGAAGGATAATTAACAACAGGGAAAAATGTAGCGAAAGACAGAAGTCACAGTTGGCCAAAGATGTGAGACACCCTCTAGATTTTGGTGTATTGTTAAATCTCATTTGGCTAAAGCAAAATTACTAGACGACTACAGGTTTTCTTCTATTTTTGAAAATTCAGTTTCAATTTGACTTCCCAGGTGTTATTCTGATTACCTCACTAACTCTTAAGAAGAATTTTTCTTCTAAGACCAATTTTCCCAGTTGGGTTGGGGAAGAGTGCCTTAATTTTCCCGGGGTTGATGGTGCTACGCCGAGAAATCTGCTTAGTATTTTTACACACACAGTAATCGATCCATTCCAATCCACCAAACATTTATTTATTAGACAACTACTGTGTGCAGGTCCTGTGCAAATCTCTGGAGCTGTAAAGATTAGTTAGTTGTCCTTGAAATAGACAGTAAACCAGTAGAGGGATGTGTTAGAGGCGGAGAAGGGGGAGTGAATGCTCAGAAGAAAGACAGGATGAGCCAGAAGAGGCAATGTCAGAGCTATGTTTGGAAAGATCAGGAGCAGGAGTTTTCTGGGCGGACCTGGAGGAGTGAGGGTCCCCCTGCAGGCAGAGTGGGCGGTGCATGTGAGGCCACGGCCAGGGTGGAGCAGGGCTGGAAGGGCTGCTTACCTGGATCTGAATGTCCTTGGAGTTGATCACTTCCACGATCCCCACCACATTGTCAAACACCAGGCCAAACTTCTTACAGTTATCTAGAGGGGGAAAAGCCCACTAAATACTCACAGCTTTGCCTGAACACAACCCACCAGAGGAACCACAGAGCCGCCCCTTGGCCCTACCAATGGTAATGGAATTTATTTTCCCATTTATCTGGAGTGTCGATTTGTCACATTTGAAAACGTAAGCCACTTGTTTCAGTTCAGTCTCTGAAATCACGAGGTCATTCCTGTCCTCTTGATACTCCTAAAATTAAAACAGACACAAATATTAAGTTCGAGGATATACAGATAAACGAGTCCACTGGGCACTGAAGTCACCATGCAGCTGGGATGATAGCTTTTCAGGGTGCTCTTCGTTTAGATCCGTGTCTGCCCAGGCCTTACCTTGTCATCGTAATGACGAAAATGGATGGAACTACCTAGAAGGGGGTCAGGGTCAATGTGCAAGCATCGGGTACTGGCTCCCTGGTGAGTGGGCGGGGCTGAAGCAAGGGTGTGAGAGCTGTGGAGACACTGATGCCAAGGCCTTGATCCTGCAGCAGAATCCACTGTGCCACGTAGGAGACTGGCAGAGGAGCTGCTGAAGGACACAACAGCGGTCCAGCTCCACTGTGTTTTCAGGCCATGACAACCTTTCCAGGGATTTGGACCTTATGCTTCTGGGATGCTCTCTGGAATATAGAGGACACTAGCTTTCCCCACTTCCAAAATGTCCTTGTCCTGCTCACAGCGTTAGCCCTGAAGGTGGGGGTGGCAGCGGTAGTGTATGGCTGTATCAGGGCCTCCATCAGGGGCACCAACATGACGCAGATCAGATCGGGGCACACCTTCCCCAGGCCACAAGCTATTGTGGTTTCTCACTGCCTGGTTGGAAGCTCATGGAAATGAGTAGTCAAATTCACAAAGACAGAAAGGAGAAGGTGGTCACCAGGGGCTGCGGGCAGGAGGCTAGGGGAGCATCATATGCTGGGCTCAGGGTTTTAGTTCTGCAAGATGCAGAGAGTTCCATGGAGTTCCATGGTTGGATGGTGGTAATGGTGCACAGCAACGTCACTGCCCTTAATAATGCCACTGAAATGTACCCTTAAAATGGTTCACGCGTAAATTTTATGTTATGTGTATATTACCACAATCAAAAACAACTTTAAAAATGTTGAAGAAAATAATGCATGAGAGTCAGAAAAAATTTATGGAAGCATTTGGAAATGCACAGTGCCTCCTCCAGCCAGCGTCCTTTCTCAAGACCCAGGAAAATGGATGGTGCATTCATCAAAGTGTGTGAAGAACACAGGTCAAAGGTCTTCACTCACCACCCTCCACTTCTTTCCTTCCAACTCGAACACTGGAGCATGTTTCTGGGGAGAAGAGGATTTGGGAGATGTGGGACTTGGAGTGTGGGATTTGGTTGGAGATCGCACTTGTCCTTGGGCCCGCAGGCTGGGATTCTTGTATGTCTTCTGGTCGTCTGTGACATGCCGGAGCCCTAGGAAAGCAACACACATGGGCACATTTCTTTATGACATATGCAAAAGGAAAGATGCTTGATGTAAACAAGCAGAACTTCTGGTGGTGCTATTTTTGTTACAGAGTAGTTCTAAGCGTGTTAATGGTATTTCTTGCTGCCTAGTTAAAAGTTGATGGAAATGAGCAGCCGAATTCAGAGAGACAGAGAGCAGAATGGAGGTTGGTGTGTGTGTGTGTGTGTGTGTGTGTGTGTGTGTGTGTGTGTGTAGTGGGGAAGGGGAACAGGGATTCTGTGTAAGTTGATACTGATAGAAGCACCACGGTCACTTTTTAACTTGAGGCCCTCCGTCTTTAGGTAGAAATTCTGCAACAGACAAAAAAACAAAAAAACAAAAAACAAAAAACCAGAACAACAACAACAACAACAACAAACAACAAAAACCCAACTCCCATATCAATTACTACATTACCACAAAAAATCTCATGGTTTGTTTCTTTTCTCATGGCTAAATCACCCACAAGAACGGGCCTAAAAAGTCAGGCATTCGGGTGAGTGTATATCAGAGTATAGAATCAACTTCTATGCCCTGTTGATTCAGAGTACAGAATGCCTTTATGGTTTAGAATGCAAGCGCTTTTGACCCTGATATATCTTAACTGTTGTATTTTTAAAAATTAACCATCACTATGAGGACAAAGGTAGTTCTGTGATAGAGCACCTCAGCAAGCCAGGACACCGCGTCAGGACAGAGGTGCTGCCGTTGGCCATTTTCATTTCACTTGACCTCGATGCTTGGGTTTTAGAGGATGCTGCTGGAGCGCCAGAGGCTGCAGGGGTGAAGTAGTGCAGTGGTTGACTGAGAACCCGGAGTCTCTGAGTTCTTCCTGCTCCACTGAGACCCTCTGCCTAGACTTGAAGAGTGTAGACGCCCTCCCCCTTTGTGTTGGGGGTGGGAGTGGAATGACTCATGCATCGCTGGCCTTGGGGTTTATGGTTTGAATCTGGAATGTGCCCCCCAAAGCCCATGTGTTGAGATCTCTAGAAATGAAAATTAATCCGAATGTTTATGAATATCAATACATACATAGCATACAGGGACATAAATATGACCATGTGCATGTAGAGGTACATGAATATGGATGTGTATGTGTACATGAAAATGAACATGTACACATACACATGCATGAATATGCAAATATATATGGATATGAGCACCAATAAGAACATGTACATAAATCTGAATATGAAGGTGTCATGTACATAATTATGAACATGTGTATGATTACATATGAGAATATGAATGTGTGCATGAGTATGAATACATGCACATGAATATGAAAGTGTATATGAGCATGAATAAGAATGTGTTCATTTACATGTGCATGAATTGAATATGTGTATGAATATGTATATGTGCATAAATATGCATATGTATATGAATATGCATATGTACATGTACCTTAAAAAGTACATGAATAAGAATGTGAATGTCCACACATACATGTGCATGAATATGACTGCGAATGTGTGCATGAATGTGTGAATGAATGTGTGCATGAACATGAATATAAATATACTCTCCATTGATGAGATCCCACTCCAAATGCAGCAAGTTTTGGAGGTGGGACTTTTAGGTAATCACTGGGGCTCTACCTCATCAGCTGATTAATCCATTTGTTGGATTAATCTACTGAGAGCTCGGTAGTCTACTGCGTGGAAACTGTAGGCAAATGGGGCATAGGTGGGGGAGGTAGGGCGCCCGGGGCCTGGCCTTGGACTACGTCTGACCTTGTCCCTTCCTCTCCCTCTCTGCCTCTGTGCTCACTGACTGCCTGGAGGTGAGCGTTGCCCTTCTGATGCAAAGTTCTGCCTCATCTTGGCCCAAGGAATAGAGGTGTCCAACAAATGAACTGAACCTGTGAAACTCTGAGTTGAAATTAACTTAGTTCTAAGTTGTTCTAGTCAGGCATTTGGGTCACAGTGACAAAAAGCGGACTGACCCAGGATGGTGTTCCTGGAGGCAAAAGGGAAAGCAGCACACTTTGGGGTCTCATGTGCTCACCTTTGGTGATGGCTTCTCCCTGGTTAAGCTGGGCAAACAAAGCCGAACGAGAAGGAGAGGACTCCTCTCTTCTGCCTTCGTTCTCAAAAAGTGGAGGTGGTCCTGGGGGAGGCGGTGGAGGAGGAGGTGGCGGGAGGCCAGGCCCAGAAGAGAGGACAGAAAACGCCGACGCCGTGGTCGCTACGGGACCCTGCGGAAGGCAGAGGAGGGGGCTGCCCTGGGCCTGGGGCCTGCTGGGGTGTGGCCAGAGTTCCCCAGAGCCTGCTGCCGGAGAGGGAGTGGGGCTGAGGACCCCCAGGGGCCCCCCAGGCGTAAGGGTGCTGCGTGGGTCTGTTCAGGATCCTGGATGGAGGCAGGGCCTGCCTGGGGACCTGACGGTCAGTAGAATCTGCATGTCCAGGAGCCCACTGCCAACTCAGGCCAACAAGGCCACATTCACAAGTTCACGTCCAACGCTCAGGATAGGAAAAGAACTGGACCTTGGCCAATTCAGAGTCCTAAGGGGAAAAGTGGTCCAGCTGATAAAATTAGCTTTACAGGGACACTGGAAACTGCAGCCACCCAGGACAGAGAGGACGAGAAGGGGGGAAGGTGAAAAATAACCCAGGGTTCCTAATGTTTTTGAACTTTTCTTCCCCCCAGTATTAGGGATGGAACTCAGGGGCGGTTATCCCCGGAGGCACATCCCCAGCCCTTTTTACTTTTTTGTTTTGAGACAGAGTCTCACCAAGTTGCTTAGGACCTCACCAAATTGCTGAGGTTGGCTTTGAACTTTCGCTCCTTCTGCCTCAGCTTTCTGAGCCACTGGGATTACAGACATGCACCACTGCCCCTGGCTGTTTTTTTAACCTTTTTTGAGCAGCTCAAGAGAGAAATACTGAAAATCTTTGGAAATCTTTTTCCACATATACATGCTTCAAATTGACCCCCAAAGACCATATGTGACCTGTCAGATCTGCAGATCGTCTCAGGTAATGACCTGAAGACTAGCAAAGGGCTCTTGGCAGGCAGACCAATCACAGACCAATCAGAGACCAACGGAAACCAGAGCCTTCCCGAGAAAGGGCTGGGCTCATTTTCATCTTCTTTGCTATGTGAAGTGCAACCTTGGTTTCCAATATGGAGGTCCAACGAGGGCAAATGGCAGTCGAGGATGATAGAAAAGGTAACCCAGACATCCAAAGACACCCCAGAAAACCAAAGGCTGAGTGTTGTCTCTGATGTGCAGAAGCTGATCCGAAATAAGAGGTAGGGGGATTTAAAAAAAAAGAAGAACAGAAGAAAGATCAGGGGAGTGGACAAAGGGGAATGAAAGGAAGGGAAGAGGGACCGGATAGAGAAAGAAAGTGGAAGGAATCTGACCAAACTTTCCTAGGTACAGATATACCACAGTGAATATCACCACTGTACACATCCACAGACACTGATTTTGAAAAAAAATATAATAACAAAGATCAGTAGACAGAGGAAAGGGAGCAGGGGGGGAGGAGGGAAGGGAAGAGGGAACTACTGGAGACTGAATTAGAATAAATTATATTCCACGCTTTTATAATTATGTCAAAAGGAATCATATTGTCTTGTATAAAAAGAACCAATAAAACTATATAAAATACATATAAATAATAAAACATATATAATAAAGGATATTTATATATGTATATACACACACACACACACACACACACATATTTTACTTTTAAACCCTGAAGTAGAACTGTTTTATCTATGATAAGAAATCATAAGCCAATTCAACTTTAAGAAGTCAGGATACTTGGGCTGAGGCTGTGGCCCAGCGGGAGAGCACTTGCCTAGCATGTGTGAGGCACTGGGTTTGATCCTCAGCATCACATAAAAAAAATAAATACATAAAATAAAGGTGAGAAAGAAATTAAAAAAAAAATCAGGAATCTTAAAATATTGGGAATGATGGAAGTCTGGCCTAGATTCATAGACTTTTAATACAAAATATAATAGGTGAAATATTACATAGGGGTTAATAAACATTAACGAACACAGAACATCCCTTCTTTCACAAACAGCTCAGTATTACCAGGTGCCAAAATTAGTTAGTCTTTGCCTATAATAGTTTTCGAAAACAAGCTCTTTTCATAGTGCTTATAAAATCTCTGTTCAATGTAGAATTACTCTGAAAAGATTCATCTCTTATTCAGAAAGGGTGTTTTTAAAACCCAGCAGGCCGGAAGTCTCGTCTCTTGAAGGTGTCATCGGTAATAAGTTTTTGTTTCTAGGGAAGCAGCCTGACTCCATCAGGATTCTGGGGTCAAGTAGAAAATGATTTCAAGTTCTTGAGACCAACCAATTTTTCCCCAGCATCTACACAATTTTCTATCATGTCACTGGGGTGCAATTTGAGAATCTGCTTTGAATCACAAACAGCATATAATGCAAGCTTTATGCATCAAATGACATTCCAGTCCTCAGTTACAGACACGAGAAACCACTTCTGCTCATAAGCCTGTAATAATTCATATAGCCGTGGAGGGAACAGATCCCCACACCACCCCCCTGCAACTCTGCAGCTTTACTGATCTCCTATTTTGTGGACAGGGGACATGATACTGGCTCCTAAATTTTAGAATGATTTAGATGGTTCTTTGGCTCTCAGAATGAACTTCTCTCCACAAGCCAGTAAAAGACTTGGAAACTGATAAGCCACGTAGTCAGCTTTTTGGAATTTTGTTGCTTTTATGTGATTGACCCAGGACAGCAGACAGATGATTTACTGTGACAGATGTGGAAAACAAAAGTCAAAAGAAAGCGGGGCCCTGGGACCTGTTGGAACGCCGCATCACATGCTCTCAGGAATCCCGGCCACCAGTAGCAGCCACACCAACCGGAATCCCAGCCTGACACTGAATCTCAAGGCATCCTAATGAGAAAAAGGGGCAATCAATGGTCCAGGAAGGGATGGCCTGAGAATTATGGGAAGTCTAGTATGTACTAAGCACCGATCATTTTCATTTATTTAGTGAATATTTAATGCTTAGTAATAACAGTCTTTATGCCAGGGGTTCTGAAGCTTGTCTGAACATTAGAAGCATCTGGGATCTTTTGACATCCTCCAAGCCCAGGCCACTGTGCACAGACACTCTCTGGGGGATGGGGTTGGGTAGCACCTGTCCTCTGAAGCTCCCTCAGTGATTCCAAGGCGCATCTTCAGGACTACCGCTCTGTCCTATGTGCTGAGATTAACCTTAATCACAACATTCTTACCAGGACTATTGAAATCCTTCAAACATAAAGCAGAGAATCAGAGAGGTTGTTGAAATTCCATAATAAAGCCACCAGCTCATGGCAGAGACATAATTCATGAGTGTATCTGCTTGATTCCAAAGCCTTCTGAGAAATCCTTTATGTTGTATTTAGATTTTGAAAAAGTCACTAGTCAATGGGCTGGGATTGTGGCTCAGTGGCAGAGCCCTTACGTCTCAAGTATGAGGCACTGGGTTTGATCCTCAGCACCACATCTACACAAATAAATAAAATAAAGGTATTGTGTCCATCTACAACTAAAACAAATTTTTAAAAAGTCACTAGTCCAATGAAACACCAGAGGTATGCATTGCCTTGACATGTATGTAGAGTTGCATTTGAGCTTCTGATTAGAGGATTGGGGTGCTGGAGGTGGCATGTGAAGTTCAGCTTAGTTTTTATATCCACCCTTACTCTATTGCTCTAACATCTTAGCAGCTGATCAGCTCCTACAGCTGACTCTGGAACCAGACTCCAACATATAAGGCCATAAGATCCCTTGGGTGGACATAAGTCAGGCTTGATGTTGGTCTTGCTGTGACTTGGTGCCCTGGTTCTCGCCTTAATTTATGATTCCTAAATATCCACTGGTTCCAGTAGTGGGGTCCTCATGCCCAAGTCCTGGCTGGCTAACTGGTGCTCACATTGCTCCAGCATGGGGTCTTGCTCTCCTCCTGGGGACTGGAAATTGAAGGGCACCATCCTTAGCGGTGACATACCTGGTTGTCTAGACTGGATGGGGATGAGTGCCTCAGGTCAGGGCCTGGAGGATCAGTCTCCACTAAGGGATCCACAGCTTCTTGTTCACATTGGGCCAAAGAGAATGGAACTCAAGGAGAGAGGGCGGAGTTTGTATCTTTGAATTGGAGTTAGGACCACCTAGAGGTACAGGAGGATAATCCCTGGTGGGCAAACCTTAGGAATGAGCCAATAGCACCTGCCCCAGGGGCCTGAGAGGATGACCCTTGACAGGGTTCCTTCCCTGCTGGGCACCATGGAGGTCCTGAGAAACTGCGTTCATTTCTTTTAAAAAAAAAAACGTCTTCTTATTTTTAAAATTGTGATTGGTTCTTTTTAGTTATACATGACAGTAGAATCTATCTTGATATAATTATACAAGCATGGGTTATATCTTATTCTAATTAGGACCCTATTCTTGTGGATGTACACGATGGTGGGATTCACCGTGGTATTTTCATAAATGTACGTAGGAAAATTATGTCAGATTCATTCCACTGTCTTTTCTTTTCCTTCCCTTCATTACCCTTTGTTTAAGCTACTGAACTTCTAATCCCTCCAGCTCCCTTATTGTGGGTTAGCTTCTACCTACTACTGAAAACATTTGACCCTTGGTTTTTGCGGATTGGCTTATTTCATTTAGCACAATAGTCTCCAGATCCATCCATTGGCAAATGTCATAAAGACATTCTTTTTTTTTTTATAGATGAATAATATTCCATTGAGTATATATGCCACATTTTCTTTACCCATCTATCTGTTGAAGGGCACCTACATTGGTTCCATAGCTTGGTTATTGTGGATTGAGCTGCTATAAACACTGATGTGGCACATCACTATAGTAGGCTGATTTTTAAATCCTTAGCACAGTATTGGGACAGCTGGGTCATATGGTGATTCCATTCTTAGTTTTTTGAGGAATCTCCATACTGCTTTCCAGAGTGGTTGCACCAATTCGCTTGCTTTCGTTTCTCTGAATGGAGGCTACAGGTCAGATCTGCACATGTAGAATAAACAAGGGTTTTTAATGAGACAACTTGTTTAATTGCAAATTATTTGAATATTTCTTGTCCTTCTCAAAGAAGGCTTTCCTTAATTCTTTTTTTCTACAATATGTCTTACTCTAACAATCACTTTCATTTTATCGCCGCAGTATAAAAGCTTACATTTTAGTGCTTG